GAGTTTTTGAGTTACCTACATTCTTTCTAATGTTCTTTCTCTATATACAAATGATCCCTGAAACACTCATTGCAGGGAAAGTAAAAAGAGTTAATATAGAAAAGTTAGGGTTTTCCATTAGTTGATAAAACAGAACCTTTTGCAGAGATCTCATTGCAGAATTATCTTCAATGAGAAATGTTCTACAAATTATTTTAGAAAAAATAAAAGCTTCAGGTAGTATATTTTATTTCTTAGATAATCCCTTTGCATTTTTTTTTTTCCAGCTAGAAAACCTAAAACTGATACATTTAATAGGAATGAAAGAAGGGATTTTAAAGGAGATCTCACATGAAGAACAGCAAAGAATCAACATAGACCCAACTCCAGAGTCTGGAGGGCTAACAGAACAAAATCATCTTTATTCACCTGCTTGCTTCTAGTTTTGACTCCACTGTAGTGCTGTTGATCTTCGCTTAACTCCCTTCAGATGTTCTAGTCAGTAACATTTGAATGTCTCTGCTCATACAATAGTCATATTAATGTCGAGAACAGCACGGCGTGGGCATGGATAGCCATGAAGCATAGCAGCAGCATTCATCAACAGGCTCCTGAATCCGCCAAATACCTGGGGGTCCCCAGGACATACGCTTCTGTTTTCAGGCCCCACCAAGGAAAAATTAAAGGAAACAGTAATAAATCTATGCCACTGAGTAAAAGTACGTAAGTAAATAGCGCAAACGTGCCATGATCCCCAAAACAACTCCGGTGACACCATACCAAAGGGAAGCTGTATCCTGACACGGACCAGGAGGCAGGCCAGTCCATCCGAGGCCAGCAGCCAGCACTCTGAGCAGCCACTCCAGCAACTTGCTTACCTTGTCCTATCATACTCCTGAACCTCGCTGTCTCTGTATAAACTGCTGTGTGCCGAAAAGATAATTTTACCTGGAACTAAATGACAAACAAAAACTTGTTGGCCTACCATGTGTAGATTTACGGATGTAAGATGAGGACAAAAGTAAGATAAAGGTACCTCTGTTCTCCCTTTGTACTCTCTTTGCTAATCAGATGCAGATTTCACAAATCCCAGTGACTATGAAACCCAGTGCTAACTACCTCAACTCACAATGCTGTACAACAAAGATACTTCCAAGGACAGATAAACATATTTGTGATTCACAGTCACTTGTCTCCATGCTGTGAGCATCCAGCAGTCTCTTCCCATTATTATTATTTCTGTTAAGTGGCCTGTAGCTTTCCATTCCAGGTAAAAATCTAAATGTTTTCAGCCAAGAAACTAAAATAAAATGAAATAAAATAAAATACCACAGTGTGTTTCGCATGAGGAAACACCTGCCAGCAGTTTTCACTCAGGAAGAAGTCAATGGAAACCTGGAGGAAGCTCTTTGCAGAGAGTGCTTAGTCATTTTTTAGAGTGGCCCAGTAAATCGTGATCCCAGAACAGAAACCCAGTCCCTGGGCTGGCCAGTTCAACTCTCACCGCCCTGTTTCACAACAGGAGAAATCCATCACCCATTGCCTACTTCAAAAGCAGTTTTAAAGCTACAGGCAGTGTTTTTTGACCTCACTCCAGCTTATCTGGCACTGTTCATAGGCTACTCAGATTCACAGTTGCAATAAAAGAGAGCCACCTGATAAGCAGCTCTTGGGTTTTTCTTTGTTCGGACACTCCAGCTGATGTGCTCCAGGCATTACTGCATTATCAGGATGGTTGTGTAACTGAAAGAGGGATGAATACCATTTCAAACCAGTGAATGAACTGCCAGGTGCAGGTGTGGGAAGGGTGAACAGGATCAGCACAGGCTTAACATAGAGAGTAAAATGGCAAATCCTTCCATGACAGAACTTGAAAGTGACAGTCACATTAAAAAAAAAAAAAAACAAACAGAAGAAGAAGTACTGTACCTTAACCGTATATTCTCTGCTTGTTCCGTGTAATTTGTCAGTTCTGGTGTTGCCAGCCTTCAGAAGAAAAACCTGGTGTCAGAGCCAGAAAAAGATGAAGTGGTTTGCTTAAAGCCAACCAAGCAGTCCTCTCGGTTTCTTGGTTCATTTCCCAGTTCTTTGGAAACTTTTCCTGAAATCATACAGGGAACACTGAAACAATTCATTGACTTCCACAGCCCCTCAACGGGGACCCCCCATGTTGTGAGTTGTGTGAAGGAAGTCATTGCCTGTATGTGGACCAAAGGCTGGAAGGTGGCGATCCTGACCAGGAGACCACTGTACATCAAGGACTCGGAGACCCACATCACAGTTAACGTGAGCAGGCGCAGCCTGTGCTGTGCTGCACAGATCAGTCAACTGCCCAGTTCACCCTGTGCGTGGCCGCAGGATAAGCTCTGCCAGCTCCCTCTAACAGCGGCCTGCAGGCAGCTCCCACTTGGTACTGGCGATCACGCCTCCTGCCTGGCCTTGCTTTTGCCTAAAGGGCAACAAGAAGTTCTCCTGTGAACGTCCTTCATGAATAGAATTGTTTTCTTGTAAGAAAATTATCTAATATCTTGAATGGCCAAAAAGGAGGAGCTTCTCTCCATGGACAGGACCTGCTCAGTGGGCTCTGGGAAAAATCCAGCCGGGCTCCATCTGATGCTGCACAAATGTAAGGTTCCCAGCATCTGAAGGGACGTAGTATCTACTCACTATATTCCTCCTCTTACTCTGTCTTATTAGAACAGCTGTTTCATTAAGCCATTTGTTGTCAGGCCTTTCTTACAGAGGTCCAGAAGAGCCCTGCATCAGCTCACTCAGTTCACCCCTCACCCCTGGGGCAGAACATCCACACTTCTCACCTGTGCCTTAAAATATGAGTCTTTGCAAGCTAGGTATCTGTGCTCCTCCTACAGTCAGTGGAGAGCTAATCCATACAGTTCATAGACTCTACAGAGCAAGTCAGCACACATTTGGTCAGCTGAATCTCTTTCTAGATTCCACTGGTCATAGTGACTAGCCCTCCATATGAGGGTAGGATTACTGCAAGGATGGCCACATCCTTATTTGATTAGGATATATGAAATGTCTTTAAAACAATGACATAACAGAAAGCCATTTTAGTTACAAATGTTGCCAGACAATGCAAAGGATGACCAAAAAGGACTTTGAGTACTCACAGTGCCTGCACGCCTTCAGTGGAAGACAGAAGCAATGCCTGATAGCAATGATGTTTCAAAATAATTTTCCATTATGAACAGAATCCATTCAAACTTGCTTGAGTTCAGCTGGAGTGACCTACCTTTGGCCCAAGAACAGCTTTTCCTGATGCAATGGGAACTAGATAGAAAAGTGCCATTGGCATACTTTTGGTAGTCAATGTTGCTATGCTGTTTGTGGCTACTCTGGGGCATGTCATTATCTCCCTCAGTATCTCATACAGTCTTAAAGATAGGCAGGGAATTAAATCTTATAAAAGAACATTACCAAACATGTAGTGATCCATAATGCCAAGTTAGTTAAGAAGTGAACCTGTCTAGAAAGTGCAATAAAACATAAAAGGCTGGCCCCAGCAATGAAACAGTCCCTTAGACATCCATTAAATGAGCACGGTGCAGTACATGGTGAAAATGGAAGCAAGTTACTTTTAATTCATTCATTCTCATTGATCTTAGGTATTAACAAATAATAAAATATTTTGCAATTTAGATTAGATATTAGGAAGAAAATTATTTATTCAAAGACTTTTGACAGTGACAGAGACAAGTTAAAATAATCTTGCTGGAGCTACTGACTGACATTTAACGTTGCCAGTAAAGAATCATACTTTAGATGGGAATTCAAAGTATTTTTCCTTCACAGGATTAAAAAGGAGTTCACAAACCAAGCCACAAAAACTGTTCAGCTGTTGGCTGCTGCTGTACCTCCTCTTTTGCTCTCCTCACACTCATAGGAGGAACAGAAACTCCACCCAAGCTTTCATCCTACTTCTGCCTGAAGATCTAAGTTGGTGCACAGTCATCAATACTGCCAGCCAAGGTGCACAGCCAAGGACTGAAGACATTCAAGCAGGAAAAATTCTCTGGCAAGTTTCTTTTTCCTTCTTTTTTTAAATTTCTTGGGTCACTGCCCAGCCGCCAACCCAGCCTCTCACTCTGCTCAACGGAATCTGTGTGAAATCAGGTGTGAGTAAACAAGGAAACAAAAGGCAATATTTTGGCAATGTTTGCTGTTGGTATTGAAAGGTCTTTTCTCTTTTCTGGCTGATATCTTTCACTGAGATTATTTCTGTACCCTCGCTTTAAGCAGAACTTTCCTCTGACCAGATTCTGGAGCTCTGAAGGTTATGGCTAAGAAGAAGACTCCTTGAGAGAAAGCCAGAAATCAATAAATAGTTACTGTAAAACTGTACAATAGGCAGCAGACTTAACTAGATCGATTTAAATAATTAAAGTCTAACAGTCTTTAGTTAATGATCTATCTACTTCAGGTTATTTATCTGCAACAAATTTTCAGTATACAGCAAAGAGCTCTAAGAGTGAAAATCTCTAGAAACGAAGCATAGAAAAGTTCTGCAAATATTTTTGTGAGTATGAGGCCCAAAGGGTGTTAGCAGGTGTTTCTGTTTATTTTCTTTTAGGGTTGGGTCCTGCATGCTGTGGGAGCTGTTATATTCTGCCTTCTCTTGAATCACACCTTTGATTACTTTTTCTTGCCTTTCAAAAGCCACATACTTCAGTCAGAATTTTACACAAATACGTTTGGTAAAATGTTTGAAGATGGGAATAACAGATTTTTTTCTCTTTTTGTACCTGAGTAAACAGAGTGATTTTTTAGAGATGCTGATAACCACCACCAGCAATACACCAAGCATTTCTGAAAATTAGATCCAGCTTTAAGGAGCCTCCAGATATGCATCCAGATAGGCCAAATCATAGCCAAAGAAATCAGAGGACATGGAATTCAGTCAATAAAAGAGACCTCAAGAATGTATGAGAATTTTTTTTTTTTTTTTTTCTAGAGCAACCATGTTAATTCCAAGCCTTTCTTTCTTCATGCAGTGCTCAATGGCCCTGGATAAAATGGAAGATTTGAGTCTCAAATGCACAAATCTCCGAGCTGAGGTAGTTGAATTGGAAGGTATTCCCCTCACACAACCAATATACAGCACATGGGATCAAGTGTGGAAGTTCAAAGCCAGACCTGATGATCTGCTCATCGCAACCTATGCAAAAGCAGGTTGGTGTGGGTAGGAAACAGAATAGAAAAGCTGGGATAGTGCTTATTGTTGGAATTGAAAACTACGTTTTTCTATTGTGACTGATATCTAACCCCAAACCAGACATATTTTAAAGGCATGAAGCTCTGTCATCTGTGACTAGTAACTTCTGACTTCTTTGGCTGAAGTAGCAACCACCGACTATTATTGACGTTCAAATGGTCAAAGTCTGACTACCTATACTTAAATGTTTCCTTTGATTTAGATTATATACATATATATTACTGGCCAGAAGAGAAGTTTTCCACTAATAGGTAATGATTAAACAAAGCCGAGTAAAAAGTCATCATTACTAACAAATAATAGAAACCGACTGAACAACTATGGATTGTGTTGTGTACTTGGGGAATGACTTGGTGTGTAAACCAGTATTGATTTCTGGAAATGGGTTAACTATTTTAAGGAAATAATGAAGTTCACTCTAATAATTTCAGCCAATTAAATAAAATATCCACCATTAATATTAGCTATCTGGTATTTTATTCAGTGATTGGCCACTTAGCTCATTACTATTTCTCCTCTTGATCAGACCCTTTATACTTACTATACAAGAAAAAAATGAATAACAAGCATCAATATTAATCCTGGATGAATAAAAACATGTACAGCTTACGGGATTCAGGAGCAGATTACTGAACATTTGAAGATCATAAAAAAATTATTATCTGAATTAGCAAGAATTTTAAAGTATTTTTTTCAGTAGGAAAAAAACCAACATTATTACCAAAAAAAAAAACCCAACAAACCAAACAACATTATTTTTGTAAAACCTGAAAGCTTTTAATTTATTTCCTGTATACTGAAAGCAAAACCACATTATTTTATCCAGCCTGGATTAAAACTTCTCAGCCATTGAACTGAAAGGTCCATTTGACATTATGTTGTATCTGCCAGAGATGCACAATTCATGCACCTTAAGAAGGGCTGTGTTTCCTGTCCACATTGCTTTCCAAGTTATCCCTTAGCCTGTTCTTTAGCTGATCTGCCACAGTACGTCAGAGAAGGTGTGGTTAACCCAGTGATCATGGCTATAAGGGAAAAGAGGCACATGAAAGACAGAATACTATAACTCTTACAAGATGTTGCAGTAGCTCAGGCAGATGAAATGTTGTTCTGACCTTCATTAAAGCATTTCAAATGGAAATGTTGAAAATACTGCAACTTTTTTATATTTTCAAACTGTATGAAATTTTTACTCCTCAAAGCTCAGGTATTTCATTTTTTCGTTCAAATTCAGGATGTCAACAAATGTTGGAATACCTGAATTTTTGTGAGGTATGAAAATTGGGAGGAGGAATTTCATTCCTCTCTGAAAATAATACAATCTCCAAATAACAGTGAGTTTATCCCAGAGCTTTTTTCAATACTGGTGTGGGGGTGGAGGCTATTTCTATTGGCAAGAAGAAGCCTGTCTAAAACGGAATCCCTGAAACTGTGTTTTGGGAATTACCTTTGTATTCCTAATCATGTATTTTCCCTCCATTATCCTCTCTTTCCACTTTGTCCATCATCTTCCGTGCTGGTCCTTCCTCCTTTAATACAGAGTCCATCTTTCTGGCTTTCTGTTCCCTAGCAGAAGGGACTCTTGGCTATCCCTGAGGGAAACATCTAAACACTGACATTTTTCAGGTACCACATGGACACAGGAGATAGTGGATATGATTCAACAAAACGGAGATGTTGAGAAGTGTAGACGTGACACTACTTACAGACGCCATCCTTTCCTCGAGTGGTCTGTCCTAGAGCCTTCAGAGTTGCGTTACTCAGGTGAATATTATACAAGTAGGCTTGTATTTTAGACCAAACGAAACAAAACGAGCACCCAGTGCTGATGTCACAGGTTTCCTGGGAAAGGTCACACTTGCTTTGTCACTGAATTGCGCACTATGTTGGGTGTTAGTTCCGTTGCTTTAACATAAACATCTAGTGCTACTCAAACCAAGGCAAGGCTGACAGATGTGACTCAGGTGCTACTGAAGACCATGCTGTTTTAAAGTGGCATCTGAAAGCTGTGTGGATACTCCACATTACCTAAAAGAGCAGCAGATATGCATAAAATGGCAACGTGGGGGCAACTGAATCTGATTAGGGGCTGTATGGAAGAGAAACTTATGTCATGGACGTATTCCCAAAAGGTGGATAAAGTTTTCAGTGGTTTTGCTAGTGTTTTGAGTAACTACTGTTAAATTCTAGTCATCTAAACAAGCTATGGGGCATTCTGACAAGAGCAGGCCTGGCTGTTTTGCAAAGAGTTTCCTACAGGTCTTCCTCCAGCAAGGCCTCCTGTTCCACAGAAATCGTTAAGCCAGACTCTCTTACATTTGAAGCTAAAAAGCTTGACTAACTCTGCAGCACAAGTGCTACTTTTTCTCTTCTAAGCTTCACTGTCTTGACACAGAGAGACAAAGAATGATAGAGGATGATAGGAAAAAAAAATTATAGAGGTCATGATAGACATTTAAAAAGGAAAGGGGTAGGAGATAACACGTCTCCACACATTACCAGATATCGCCAAGTTATCCCCATATATCCATAGCTACTCAAAAGCCACTGTCCATCATTCTCCTAGTTTCTCTTTACATGCCATCCAGAAAGCCTAGTCAGCCTATTGTTCTAGGGACTGTTCATCTCATAACCTAGGAAGAAACAAAAATTTCTTGCCTGCAAAGTGAAAGGAGATCACTAAATATTGCGAAGGAAAAAATTTGGTTGGGTAAATATAAATTAGTATTCATCATTATCCCTTGGAATGCAGGGGTTGGACATGGGCCCAAGAAAGCAATAAGAAGGTAGGAATCATTGTTCCCCCTTTCCTCCTTGGATACACAGGTAAAAATGTCTTTAGAAACACTGAAGGTGCTTATGCAATGTTGTACATGTTACACTGCTACATAATGACTTTGGAGATGAATGATGGTTGCAAGGTGAACTGCTGAGAAGTCACAGTCAAAATCACACATGTGAGAATCGCAAAGAAGTGCCAGGACAATTTAGAGAACAAGTCACATCTCATAATGAAACATCCCACAGGCCTGGAGTTAGCTGAAGCTATGCCTTCTCCACGAACAATAAAAACTCATCTCCCTGTGCAGCTGGTGCCTCCCTCCTTCTGGGAACAAAAATGTAAGGTAAGGCTGAAGAGGTAGGACTCAATTCTACTTCACCTGCAAAGAAAGTGACATAAACCAGGACTGAATATGGTTTCCAGAATCTTTGTGAAACCTAAAGGTCTCCCCGGATATTTTCCCTTTAATGTGCAAAGCCTGTGTGAAACTGAAGAAGTCATGACTAAGTTACCTGCGCTGGATTTGAGAAAATGGCAGCTTCAAAGCAAAATCTCTTAAGCCTCTGTCATCAGGCTCCAAGAGAAAATTCCAGGAGATGCTCAATATCTAAATAAGCGAGTGTATGTTAATTTCTCTCTCCCTCTCTCTTTTCATATCAATAAAGATAATCTATGTGGCAAGAAATGCAAAAGACAACCTGGTGTCATACTACCATTTCCACAGAATGAATAAAGAACTGCCTGACCCAGGAACCTGGGAGGAGTTCATGGAGAAATTCATGACTGGAAAAGGTAATGAACTGCAATCAGTTGTAGAGGAGATTTTGTTCATTTAAAAAATGCATTACATTGATGTATTTATTTCAGTACTCGTTTGAAATCCAGTGCTGACACTCTAGGCTAACCTGCTTTGGCGGGGGAGTTGAACTAGGTGATCTCCAGAGGTCCCTTCCAACTACCATTCTGTGATTCTGTGATTCTGTGATACAGAAGGATATCTACTGAAGGTGTTTCAGTAGTAATTTACCTTCATTCATTGGTTTTCATTAGTGCCTAAAGGATTAATTCTATCTTTACATTCCCATTAAAAAAAAAAAAATGCTACTCTTCATTCTATTATCATTCAGAAACATATGTGACAATTTTCAGGCTTAATCTCTTCTCTCTGAGGTTAAAAGAAACCTGCTTGGAAGCCAGCTGGGAAGGAACAGTAGTTTAATTGGTTTTACTCTATCCTGGTATACGAGAAGTCAAGGTTTAATTTTGTGTAGAAGTGTGCAGTGTGAATTTGAGCTAAGGGAGTCTTTTAACTTAAATTCATCTGCATAAAAATTAGGCATCTGAATAAAGCCAGTTATCTAGCTAAAGACAGACAGCCCCAGAAGCTGATTCTTCCCTTTCTAAAACAGGTGCTCATATCCAAGAAAGAAAACCTGCTCAGGTGAATGGCAGTCTGCAATTTTGGTCAGTAAAGCTTCCACAGGTCCTTAATATTTTTGCCACTATGTAGGCCTAGAAATAGCACTGTCTGCACCAGCATGAGAGTCTCATATCTAAAGGAGACCTTGTGTCTTGTGTTTCACCAACTCAACTTGGAAGCGATCTGTCCCAGTGCAGACATCTAGAACATAGCTACCTCTCTCCAAGCCAGTCAACTTGATACTTGCTGGAGAGAAACAGACACTTCTGATAGTATATCAAATACGAGTTGTAAGGGACCTTTTGTGTCCTTCTGGTCCAACTCCCTGCTCAAAGCAGGGCCAATTGAGACGAGTCTTGTCCAGCTGATCAGATGAATCACTCTGGAAATGTCTGCTTCTCTCCATTGACCACAAAGCCAGCCTGGATTTTTCATTCAGGAGTAAGCATCTGCATTTGTTGCCCTCTGAAGTTACACATGAATCCTGCTCTGAGCATCCATGTGCCTGAGGGATTAATAGCATGAATGGTGTGATAAGCACAAAGCACAGCAGCCATGGCCACAGTGATTCAAAACCAGCTGGGAAATGCCCAGACACTGGTTATGAGGGAAACATGACTGCCACAGATACCTAAAGACAGGCATTTACAGCTGATGATAATGTGACTCCTTTTTCAGTGCTCTGGGGTTCCTGGTATGACCACGTAAAAGGATGGTGGAAGGAAAAAGATAAGCACCGTATTCTCTACCTCTTCTATGAAGATATGAAGGAGGTAAAAGGCTGAATGTATGTTTATACAGATCTGAAATCTGAAAGTCCAGTAGATACTACCTACGATCAAGTTTTCTATTATAATGCCAGCTATATCAGTAAATCTTCAGATAACTTGATCATCTCATGCGGACAACACTTGCAACTTTAACACTACACTTGATTTCTTTGCCTTTCCTGGCTCTGTGTCTTATCCCATGTTATTGCTTCTGCAGAATCCAAAGAAAGAAATTCAGAAGATTCTGAAGTTCCTGGAGAAGGACGTGACTCAGGAGGTTCTAAACAAGATACTCCATAACACCTCATTTGAGATAATGAAGGAAAATCCCATGACAAACTACACTATGGAGTTTCAGGGAGTAATGGATCACTCCATTTCCCCATTCATGAGAAAAGGTACTGAGGCTTCTTACTGGCATCAACTCTTGTCTTCCTGGTTGTTATTCCATTTTGACATAAGCCTTGAAGCACAAGCAACTACTGAGTCATGGCTAATGGGCTTCAGGAAATATTGGTAAATTAATCCTTTTTTCTTTTTTTTGCTTTTGTTCCTTAGGTGCTGTCGGGGACTGGAAGAATCATTTCACTGTGGCACAGAATAAGAAATTTGATGACGATTATAAGAAGAAAATGGCTGACACCTCTCTTGTTTTTCGCACGGAATTGTGATTATTAGCAATGGGAATTATTGTCTGTGATCTTCACCATTTTCCATTTTATATGTTTTGCATTTCCTCCACAAAATGCCTGTGTCCCTAAGATTTCAATACCTCTCTTTCACACACCACTGATTTTTCATTATTGTGAGAGCGCACAAATTATGTGTAAATTTAGGTTGGTCTCCCTGAAGAAAATAATCCCACTGGATACTTCTCATTCATCCCTCCTACAGTAATTTTCAGAATTAACAAAAATATTTCAGACATGCTTTGTTTGAGTTTTTGTCTTTTAAAACTGCAGTTGATATTGCTGGCGTTTTCAAATCAACCTTTAACAGAAATTAGGAACAAGTAGGAAAAAAGGTGTTAAAAGAGTGTGACAGGTGTGGGCATTATATGGTACTCACATGTTGTACAAACGTTAATCAATAAAGGACAATAAACAAATTTAAAAGTGGTCAAGGATAAACAGAGCAACAGAAGTGCACAAAGTAGAATCATTTTCTTTTTCTCTCATTTTAAGCTGGACATCACAAATGCCGTTGAGATGAAAGCAACATTTCCAAAACCACCAAACATCCTTTACTTCCTTTGATAAAACTTGCTGAAGGGCTACAATAGAAGCATTTGTCTACAATGCAGCTGTGGAGGCAGTAGTCCCTCCTGCATCAAGACAAGAAGATTTTCTCACCATTGCCTTTTGAAATGGATAGCAAAACCTTCTGTTAATGTTTGGAGGATTCTGGAAGTTGTTAGGAAGCAGGTCAAGAGTCAGTGCTGCATATACCATCTCCCTCTTCTCCACCATTGTAAAAGTGTTCATCAGACACATCATGTTATTACCTCCTCCTTTTCTTCACTTTTCTTGTGTTAACCAAACATACAAACATGAGGGCTCTTGGTTGCAATAGGGCCTGGTCAATATCATCAAATAACAAGCAGTTCTGCTTTGGCATTAGTACCAGCACTATAGCCATGCTTTGACCTTGTGGGAAATTAATTAAAGCAATTTGTAGCTCATTTAATTATAGACAACAATCCACTTTTGGTTTTAAAGTGCCACCATTGAGCTTGGCACACAAAAAAGGCCCCAAAGAGTTCCTGCTTGACTGGGTTTGCACTCTGAATGTCAGAAGGAAAACAACGTAGACAACAGCAGCTGCAGGAAAATACTGTCTTAGTCTCATTTAATCTAGTTTAGTCTAGTTTAACACAGAAAATGTTTGCTGGGGGTATTTTCTCTTTGGCCTGTGGAGAGTTCTAAGGATTTAGTAATGGGAGCAGCTGTCAACATGCACAGTCCACTTCAGGCTGCCGATTTAATCCAAATATCTAAAATGAATGCAGTTCTCTAAAGGGCAGCAGTAACTTGCATCAAATTTGAAAACAAACAAAAAACTCCCTGATAAATGTAGAAGTCACATTGTCAGTTCCTGGCCTGTCTCAATGGGCTTCCAAACATGCAGGAAACACTGAAACCAAAAACATACATTTCCTACATTAGTGCAAACATAAGCAATTGAAGGGCTTCAGGTCAACAGATTCCTGTCCACAAATAAAGGATGTCTTAGTAAATTGACTACTTGAGAAAAAAATCATCTGGCAGAGATGCTGCTGTCATCACAGCAAGGCTAAATATCAGCCTGGGGAGCTTTCTGCTACTTGTTTGGGTTTTTTGTTTATGATTAACTTGATTTGTTATCTTACTATTGCCAGTATGAGGAAGACACGTTGCCTGCTCTCTGGCATATTTCCATCCTCTTGGGTTGCTCCGTGAAACTTCATGAGTCAGCTCAGTTTGTCAATCTAATCCTCATTCAGTGTCATAAGAGCCATCAGTAAATGGAAAACATGCTTAACTCAGTTGCTTGGTGACATTTTATGAGCAGTGCTGTACAAAAGGTCACACAGACGACCTGTTTGTACATCCTTTGAAATCTCTGAATGTACCAAAAGTGCTAAATGCTGATGGTGGCTGAATCCTGATCTGAAAGGGAGCTGCACAGCCACTGCAAGGATAGAGGCATCATATAATAAGGGGCTTGTATCACATTGGGAAAGTTACCTTTGCTCTCGCTTCCTTGGGTAACTTGACCCAGCTGCAATTCAGCTGCTCTGAAAAAGATAAAAAGTAACACAGGTCAGGGTGCAGTCCTAGAAAAAAAGGAAAAAAAACAAACACAGTGTGTGGTTACATAAAAACTGACATAAATCTTAACCTTTATGACAAAACATAGCTGGCTGGGGGACAGAAAAGTGGGATGTTTTCTCTTCTTATGCCCTCTCAAGCCACCACAGCTAAAAGAGATCAACCTGTGGATTCAGACATAATTTGCAAAATGGTAGTGTAAAACTACAGGGAACAGTGAATTGTTACCAGTGAAAATGATTCAATCTGTGGTTACCATGAAAGTTTGGGAAAGGGATTAAGTGTCCTTCAATGGGCTTTGGTGTCTATTATGGCAGTATATAAGTGGAGATGTGCATATGCTTCTGGGCAGATGACTGGAGGGTGCCAACACCTAGAGCACCTTTAAGTTACACATCTTCAGGTTTCTCAATTGTTATGTACAGAAGAGCTTGTACACGGGCTTGAGAGATGGGCCCGTGCAAACCTCATGAAGTTCAACAAGGCCAAGTGCAAAGTCCTGCACATGGGTCGGAGCAATCCCAAGCACGGATACAGGCTGGGTGACGATGGAACAAGAGCAGCCCTGGGGAGAAGGACTTGGGGGTGCTGGTGGACATAAAACTGAGAACGAAACAGCAATGTGTGCTTACAGCCCAGAAAGTCGATGGCATCCTGGGCTGCATCAAGAGAAGTGTGGCCAGCAGGTCAAGGGAGGTGATTCTACTCCTCTACTCCACTCTGGTGAGACCCCATCTGCAGTGCTGTGTCCAGCTGTGGGGGCCCCAGCACAAGAAATTCATAGACCTGCTCAAGTGGGTCCAGAGGAGGACCATGAAGATGATCATGGGGCTGGAACACCTCCCCTATGCGGACAGGCTGAGAGAGTTGGGGTTGTTCACCCTGGAGAAGGCTCTAGGGAGACCTTACAGCAGCCTTCCAGTGCTTAAAGGGGGCCTGCAGGGAAAGTGGGGAGGGACTCTGGGGGTCCTGGTGGACAGCAAGATGATCATGAGCCAGCAATGTGCCCTCGTGGCCAAGAAGACCAATGGCGTCCTGGAGTGTATTAGAAGGGGTGTGGTCAGTAGGTCAAGAGAGATTCTCCTCATTCTCCTGCCCTGGTGAGACCCCATCTGGAATAGTGTGTCCAGTTCTGGGCCCCTCAGTTCAAGAAGGACAGGGAACTGCTTGAAAGAGTCCAGCGCAGAGCCACAAAGGTGATTAAGG